GCTTCTCTGCGGCAGGGACTGGAAAACTCTTAAGGATAGAAGGAAAAATGGATGCAATCCGCAAGGGCACTGGGACTCGGAAGATGATTCACCTTCCAACGGGACAATGACCCAAAACATACAGCAAAAGCCACACTGGAGAGGCTTAAAACCGAAAAGGTTAATGTCCTGGAGTGGCCCAGTCAAAGCCCAGACCTCAGTCCAATTGAGCATCTGTGGAAGGACTTAAAAACTGCTGTTCACAAACAGTCCCCATCCAACCTGATGGAGCTTGAGCAATTTTGCCAAGAAGAATGGGCAAAAATTCCAGTGTCAAGATGTACAACACTGATAGAGACTTATCCAAAGAGACTCACAGCTGTAATTGCTGCCAAAGGTGGTCTTACCAAGTATTAACTCTGGGGGCATGAATGCTTATGCATTCAATTATTTTCTGTTTTTTATTTTAAATCAATTTAGTAAAATGTCTGGGTTTTTTTTTCCACTTTGACATTATAGAGTGCTTTGTGTTGATGAGTGGCAAAAAGTCTCAGTTAAATACATCATGGTCCCATGCTGTAGCACAATAAAATGTGAATAATTCCAAGGGGGGTGTAGACTTTCTATAGGTATTGTATCAGGCATCTTTTCAAATCAAGTAAAGGTTATCAAAGATCATCATTAACCCACCAGAAGCTAAACACTGGGAAGAAACAGTGAACCATTAAGTACTGGGTTTGTTAATGATTTAGGGATCATTTGGGTCCAAACTCTGTTTAACTTGTAAGGGGTATTCTGAGCCAACAATGACCAGAGTTCGTAATTGAACAGATGTACTTAACCAATGAAATAAGGTAAAGGTATTCCCAATCTTTAGAAATAGTGAGTTGAAAAAGACTAAGGGGACACACTGAAAATAACGCATCACCTATCTTCTGTTCTGTAAGCTGTCAAGCAGGGAGAAAACTATACAGAACAGAAGATACTCCAACATTCAAAAAAGCAGCCTTTTTAGGATTCAAGGAAATTCCTTCCAAGACTGCACGCTAGTGTACAGACACTCCGCTTCTAGACGCTTCTAGTCTGTGCGCGGCACCCCTTCAGTTTTCATATTGACCTCCTTATTTGAAAGTAACATATTCTGAAAATCGTCTGTTAATTAACATAACTATCACGTTGGTCTTTAAAGTCATAATGATGGAAACTACATCAAAAGAAGATATGCAACTGAATACGTTCTTGGAACAGGACGGCGATGGGGGAGAGGAGACCCACAACAGCCGCCTCTAGCACTCAACTTGAAAATGAATGGCAATTTAACGACACCCTGTACCTGACAAAACATATCGAGCAGAGGAGAACATTTGGGGTTTTATATTGTTTGAACCAATGGAGACGAGTATTTATTTTATACAACAATTAACAGTGACCCTCATGCTTAACCCACTGTTTTGTTTCAGCGCTTTTTGGTAACGATGAAGTATTCGATCATCTCAGTGATTAATACTTGATTTGCAGAAACGTCTTTTTACTGACCGCAGTGCTCTCATGATAAGGTCATACTGCGTGAATCTCTCCTTGAGCACAAGCATCTCCACGGGGTCGACGGGCGGAGGCACCTTGATCCTGCCGGCCTTGGATTTCGCCTTGGGGTCGCTGCGGGACTTTCTTCCTCTCACGGCCTCGACCAGCACTCGGTTCCGGGGAATGAGGAGGCGAGACACCGCCGCCACATTTCCACGAACAGCGTGAAACATATTAATTTTTTTTTACTCCTCTCCTCCTTCCCCCACCCCAAAAAAAAAATGTATCAAAGTCCCGAGCACAAGACCGCCGACAAAGACTAAAGCTTTCCACTTGCTTGACCCCACATGTAGCGCCACACGTCGCTCTTGCGCAAGTGTAACCCGGAAGAGCTTTTCGCCTACCGCCGGGAGTTATGGGAAATGTGGTTCGCTGTTTTCCACTGACCGCATGGAAGAAACGGACTGATGGATATATTTTTGTTTTTCGACGGAAAATATCAGTAGCAGTCAGTATGGTGTAATAGACTTTTGAGTGGTTTTGGTGGAAACGCTTATACAAGGGACATTTTCACAACGGAAGACTTAATGGAGGGTAAGAACCTGTTTTCTTACCTAATACTAATACCAATACCTGTTTTTTTTCAACGTAATAGTTTCGAGATGTTTTGAAAAATACCAAAAAACAAAATGTACAATACCGATACATTGCATATTATATTTACTTATTGTATATATTGTAAATATCATCCCATAGAAACAAATAAGTCATCAGTTATTTAGACGAAAATGGTTATAAAATGTCAGATGACTGGTCTTTTACGGCAGCGAGTTTAACCACTGTTGTCGAAAGACTTTGGGGTTGATGTCACTGATAGAACCAGGTTTGTACTTCGAAAGCTGTAGTCCTCTTACGCGTGGTCATTAAACTTCAAAGAAAAAAATCATAAAGGTATTCATTAGCATGAGCTTGAAGTTTATCTCTTTGTTTTGTTTTTTCCTCTTCTCTGTAACGGTAATAGTATTACATTTATTTGAATAAAGCTTGTACTGACACACCCTCCAAGTACGTGCCTGGAAAACACACCTGTGGCCTATATTCCCACTTAAACATTGGGGCCCCAGTGGCACAGAAAGATGTGAAGCCTGTCG